GGGACCAGGTTTTGCACTATCACCCATACTGAGATTGAATCCCAAAATGTTACTCGAGCCCTTCATCCCACTATCCATCCATCATACTTTTTTTTGCTCACTCGACTGTATTACGATGGTCACTAAGAACCCACTTCTTCATGTGTTCAACAATGTATGTCAATAGACTATGATGGGCCCCTATAGATAGCNTCTAGCGACTCCTCGCATTCGAAGCCTAGCTACTACAGTCGTCTACATTCCAACACTTGGTTTGGCAGATGATGGGTAGAGGCTGTGCGGGACCAGGTGGTGCACGTGGTGCACTATCACCCATACTGGGATCGAATCTGTTACTCGAGCCCTTCATCCCGTTATCCATCCATCATACTTTTTTTTGCTCACTCGACTGCATTACGATGGTCACTAAGAACCCACTTCTTCATGTGTTCAACAATGTATGTCAATAGACTATGATGGGCCCCTATAGATAGCCTTATCGGTGTGAAGCAGTTGGGCCAGGTTCCACTAAACCTCTGAACAAAGTGATCTTTGAAAGGCCCATGTTTAGCGGAATGTCTCACATGGTTCCATACCAAACCGTGTGGTGGAGGAGGGAGAACGGAATAAAATGCTAGGAGCATCACCGTCTCATTCGTCATTGGGATTTTGCTTTTTCTTACTCGCATATAATTGAGGGCGAACCTACCACCTTGAAGGAACTTTTTGGGACCGTTTTGGATGTGGTTCTCCCACCGCTTTGAGAAATTTTCCATCACTGATTTTCATCCTATCACATTTTTGCAAGGAATTCAACAACCCCACAATCGCAGGCGACCGTCGGTGCTGATGATAGTCACTTTACTGGTAGACTAGACTGGCATTGAAGTGAGTAGGTTGAAATAGAACCGAAAGCAATTGCCTTAGAATTTTGCATTTAGCATAACAATAAAAGTTGTGGCAGTTGGGAAGTTCAAAAGGGCGTTGTAGTGAAGAAAATTTGCCTGACGTTATAAGATCTGAGTTGTGAATGGTGTTAGGCCAACATATTTGAATATTTTGTGGAATCAACTGTTTACCAACAGTCTACTCTTCTAGAGAAAGCTTCTGCAGTCTCTTCTAGAGAATGGAGATTAATACCAGTTGATTGGCCGAGGGAGTACTGTTTGCCCATAGTTTGAGCTGCCATGGACGGAGTGCCAAACTTACGGCAAATCCGAAAAGGCAGCTCAAACTATGTACAAACAGTACTCCCTCGGCCATTCAACTAGTATTTGAATGGCCGAGAGAGTACTGTTACTGTATTAGCAAAAGAACGCCTCAACTCTCACTCGCTGATATCACTCCTTATCCATCTATAACATCTATATGCTGGTGGTGTCACTTTCACATTAATGCCCGCTCTACTGAGGGCACAATTTACCATAAAAATTGTTTGTGAGATTTCCCTATGGCATGAATTCGAAGCTCCCTCATATACCATATCTGGCGCGACAATGTTGGAAAGCGGCTTAGTTAGGGAGTTATAAAGGCTCAAAGATTGGCCCGTGTGTATCCTCGGACGAGTTTCACCGGCATTTTAGAGGCTGCACCAATCACAAAGAAGCCAGCGTAGGGAGATTAAACAATATGTCATGACACTAAGACAGCGTAAGGTAGTTCTGTACAGTTCTGGCTCGACGTAGTCAGTTCTTTGCGCATTTGCAACAACTGAAATCTCGTTCGAATACCCCTTCCATGTTATTTCCATCAGTTAATCTCGTCCAACTTCTGTTTCCTACCTTTAAGGAGCCATGTTTTTCTCGAAATCGGCGGATTCTCTTGCTTTCTTCACTACCAATGTACTATTCCAACCTTTCAAGAGGGGCACTTCGAAATTATCGAGAACTGTGCCTGCAGACCTTTATAGTTTCTAACTACACTAACCATCCCCTTTGACCCTTTGCTCACATTTCTTTCAGAGAACCTTTAATCGCGACATGAGGAACCTCCCCTGCAAACAACGTATATGTGTCACATATGTCAACCTCCTTGTTGTTTTTGTGCCTGTTGTCGCTTATTTCCGCTTCGCTACATTTCCGCCACGGTGAATGTCCAACAGAGGATTGCTTTTGCAAGAGAGAATAAGTAAATTGTGGTTGCAGGTAGTACTATACATAGTTCAAGAGGGCAGCTACGCTGAAAATTTTTTCCCTCCTGCTTTAAGGCACACACGACAAAAATGGTTCCTGAGATCGCCCCTCTACCAGTAGTATGAACTGGGGCCCCACCTTACACCCCTCTCCTGCAGCTATAACGTCGAAAACGCCCTGTGTCGGGCACAATAAGGGGCCAGAGATTGTATCGTGTTCCTGCCACACCCATATTGGACGAGTCTCAACGGCATTGTAGAGGCTGCACCATTCACAAGGGAACCCATATAGGAAGTTCAAACAACTTGTCATGTCCCATGGCGACAGTGAAAAACAGTTCTGCACAGTTCTGGCTTGATGTACTCAGCTTTTTGCGCAATTGCAGCAACTGAAAACTCGTCCACATATTCCTTCCATGTCATTTCCGTCATGGGATCTTGTACAGACTCTTTTTTCACTACTTTTGAGGAGCCTTATACTCTACTATTCTCGCTTCCTCCACCACCGATGTACTGTTCCTAATCAATGCTTCCGCTTTTCAACTTGAAAGCATCCCTCGAAATTATCGTGAACTGTGCCTTTAATTATTGCTTGCAAATGACTTCAAAGTGCGGGAAAAGCTAAATTGCTCATCGTTTCTTCAACAGACGGAGGAAATCATGCGTATGAAATGGAAGCGTATGACGCTTCCTGAGATGGGCCTCCAAAGTACGCAGATCGAGCGTCAAAGCCCCAACATAAAAAGCCTCCAAAGGAACGTGAAGGCATAGCTTACAAACGGTTTCTAAAATACCCCAATAGAAAGAACCCGTCGGAAGGGCTGGTTGGGCAATGCCATGTTAGCGGCCGTGTTATAACAGCCTGCTAATACTGCGCCCTTCACAATGAAGTGTTAGTCCGCCAAGGAATAGTGCGCTTATGTGAGACACCCAGACGGTAAGAGACACACAATTTCGTACAACCCATTTTCTTGATACTTTTTTGAAGCCTTATGTTTCTGAAAATCCGCCGATTTTTGCGCCTCCTTCGCATTTTTGCTTACACTCAAGCTAGCCTGAGCGTTATTGTGACCCAGGTCTTTTACTGCTGACCGACTGTTCGACATTTACTTGGATTCATATATGCAGGGCGGAAATAGGCTGACCAGAAGCGCGAAACTTGATGGTTGTCTGCGAATTACCATTCAATTTCCAGGCTGGTTTTCAAAATAGAGACAGAGCTTTGATTTTACCATTGGCTGTGAACAGGGAAAGAGCAGCTACGGTTTGGAACGGAACCTAAAGGCACAGTTCACGATAATCTCGAGGGACCCACTAAAGCTGGAAAGTGGAAATGTTGATGCAGAGCAGTACAACGGTGGTGAAGAAAACCAGAGAGGGCTTCTTTAAAGTAGTGGAAATGGAGGTTGCACGAGATCACCATGACGGCAATGGCATGTGATACGTGTGTGGACGAGATTTCACTTGCTCCAACTGCACAAAAAGCTGACTATATCAAGCCGAAACTGTCCGAAACTGTCTTTCACTGTCGCTATGGGTTACGACAAGTTGTTTGGAATTCCTACATGTGAGTCCCTTAAGATAGCGCAGCCCCTACATTGCCTTTGAAACACGTCCTTTGTGGGTGTGGCTTCCACACGATACAGACTAGGCCCTCTTGTTGTGCCCCATGCAGGGCCTTTTTGGGATTTTTAACGGCAGATATGGTATAATGCTAGACCTTCATATTGCGAGGGAATCTCAGAAACCATTTTTGTCGAGAACTGTCCTTTGAATGCATTTCCTTTCAAAGCAATCAATTTTCCTGGACATCCTCGGGCTATTAATCTTCTATTAATAGGGACTAGTGGTTGCTAGGAAATCTGTAACTAGTTTGACGTCCTTGTATGCAATTTGTTCGATTTCCAGTGTTTTCTTTAGAAAATCACCAACAGCTGTTCACTTGCTCACGTCACTGTTGCTGCCTCCAATAGGTATTAGGTTGAGTCATAAGTCCTCGGACAATGTGATAGTGATGACTTCTAGAGATCATAACTCGGGAAAGAGGTCACGAAAATGGACGCCCGAGTCATCATTAGATAGAGCCACAAAAGCTCTTCCAAATACATACTGAAGAGTACACCTGACCATTTCCTGCGCTCAAGCTTGAGGAGAGAAAGTGTCATGTCGGCGCGGCAGTCCATGTCAAACTGCTTCAAAGCATGAAGCACCCATTGACCGAGCTTTCGCATCTTGCCAATCGACTTCAATCCACGAATAACTGTGGACTGACTCCCCAAAGGTGACTGCCAGTTCACGAGTAGTTTGGTACGGATCGGCTTCCACCTGGCTCCGCAGCACCTCCAAATCCAAGAGCATTGAGCGTCCCGGACGGTCTTCATTTTCGATGGAATGGTCGTCCGATGTGAACTTCGTGTGCCACTTGTGAATTGTGCATCTAGCTGGAGCACCCTTATTGTAAACTTCCTTAATACGTCTATCGATCTCCGCGGGTTCTTCGCCAGTTAAAAAAAAAGAAATGGGATGGTGTGCGGAGGAGGAGTTGCGACGGCTTGAAATCATGGGGCATGTTTACAGGAAAGGAAACAGTTAGGTGTATTCGTTAGCATACATCTCAAAGAGCTTTTCATACACTCTATCTAACGATGCCACGCGCGTTCATTTTCGTCGCCTCTTTCCCAAGTTATGATCACTAGCACTCATCACTATCACTTTGTCCGAGGACTTATGAATCAACCTAATATTTCAGTTCAAAAGCCAGACTTCCATATACTATTTGCAAACGCCGATAAAGAACTTTAAAGCTTCATATACCCGTATTCGTAATTGAAAACAGAATAGAACAGTACAAACGGTGATAAGCAACTAGTAGCGACCGGTGGCAGACAGATTAGAGATGGGTTGGCTCATGGGCAGCTAGCAGTCGAACATCCACCATTTCAGAATCACCGTCACCACTGCTAAGCGGTCCTTCCGTTGGTGGATTGGGAATCGTGGCAGAGCCGTTCATCTGCAGTACGTCACGCTATGATGGCGTCGGAGGCGATGCACTCGAGCTTCTCACCGTCTGCGCCATTTTCACAGCACTTGCCGTTGTCGGTCTCGATTTCGCTGTACTCTTCATAGATCGTGTTCGCCCATATCGCTGTTGCAGTTGACCATTCAGAGCTCCTGAAAAGCTTTGAAATCGGTCGATAGATCAGTTCAGCCAAAAGGGATTCGCCCAGAAGGAACTGCTCCTGTCTAAGCCAGAAATGGTCAAATCCAAGCAAAGAACTCACCGTAGAGTATCCAGTTAATGGCGGAATTCGTGAACGGCAACGCATGAATGAAGTACATAATATAGACGAATAACGGTGGAACGGTTCCCTCGGAATCACCTATAAAAGCTCTTGATAACATTTATGTCGAGTAAGGCCCGGATGGGGTAATCATTAGGCTCTTCGGAATTTGTGGGCCCGAAAACTTTGCAGAAGTCAAGATTTCTTTTATGGGATGTTCTGGAAGTTAGCATGGAACCGCTATACAAGGACACATTCCCTTCATCCAGAAAACACATGAGGCTTCCTCTCCCACATGATGACCGGATTTTCTCCCCATATCCGACACATTCCTCTTTACGAGTTTGAATCGGGCCATTTCACTCTGAAGCCCATCGAAATTTCAGTAGTAGCCTAGTATTATGGCCCCTTTTCAGCGGATCTCCACATGCCTCGCTCCAACACTTCAAAACCCAAAAGAAGCTAGAAGGTCAGAGATAAGTCTCAATCTGGTCAACCGACTGCTTCCTGATGGAATCTGAAGCGCATATGAGTAGATGGTGCCCTTTCATGGCGTTTCCGAGGAAACACTCAGAAAATTCCAGGAGAAAATCAGGTTTTTTGTGGAAATTTCTACTAATACTTTCCGTAAACTCCTCACAAATTATGCAGCCGTTATGCACCGACGACCAGGCCTGATTCGAACCCTGAGGTTTCGACCGGATCACTATGTTCTCCAACATATGAGGGTCTCAGTAGGGCACAAAAGTCCGAAGATCTGATCCTTGACTGGACAGATCACCGTAAATGACAAGGAAGTCTCAAACAACTAATGACGTTTCTTCAGTCTAGTCCACTTAAACTGAATGCTGGCGTTTCTGAGGCGGCCTCTTAAGTCCGTTGCCCATCATTCTTATTTCGAATTTGGGTAGCTCCCTCAATTGATACTCGGTGACAGATGCATTGACCTGGTTTGCCTTTCCAACACACAAGAATTTAATGCTCTCCCTTCAATCGAAAGTATACGGTAAATAGACCTGGCAGTTCTGCCTGCTTTTGATTTTCAGTACTTTCCGAAAGTGGGTGATAAAGATGGGTGTTGAAAATGTTTCAGATTGGGGCTAGGGCTTCTCCTTGAAAGCGCTTGCAAGAGTTTGAGAAGTCCTAAGTACGGAGTGCCTCCTTCCACAAGCGACCAGTGGAGGTGTTGGCCGCCACCTTCTGGAGCGATAAATGATTGTGATTCAGCAACCACACGGGGTTACCAGCTTTATACTAAACACCCACACGAAAACCTTGATGGGCATCTGCTTTACGGTTCCACGTATGGAAAGATAGTAGTAGTACTTTCGATCCGGGTCCCCATCTAGCTTGTAGAACGGTCTTTTGCTAGCCCATTTTTGTCCCCAACAAAGCTCGCTTGCCTCTGATATCACTCACAGAAGATATAGCGCTTGGACAGGAAGTACGATACAGGAAATCAAAGTGGTCACTTGTAAAGTCAAAGTGCGTTTCGACTACCCCAAGTGTTAATAGTATACTTGTGGGCGGTAGAAATTTTTTCGGGCAGTGGGAAAAAGGATCCTAGGGAAATTCCGTGTAAACTGCTTGGGGTGCGCTTTCTACACCTTTTCAGGGTTCCAATCCTGAAATCATAATCAAGCACCGCAAGAAAGCTCAAGCTCAGGATATCTAACATCAACTTCTTCTGTGGTCACTGAGGTCACTCAGTCACCTTCTTGTTCACTAGAGTGATCCTGTCCTATTGAAAATTCTGTTTTTTTTTCGTATTTCGAAAAGAGGGCCTCTTAAATAATCACTAGAACACTTTGAACACTTCAGAGACTCTAGAAAAAGGAGACTCTGCTGAAAGGCCCCTCAAGAATAAGATCCAGTGATCCAGTCAGGGACGTGGTCCCCCAGAAACCAGCGAGGCGTCGCTGTAATTTTAGCTTTGATGGGAGAAATTCGAAAACTCAGTTTTTTCTCGGAAAATAGCCTCTATGCCCCACAGGAAGTCATCATTGGAATGATGATTCGCTTGTAAATAGGCATTAATGAAAGGATGGGCTTTTTCTAGTGCACCCTTTACATCCATCCATTTAAATGAGTCAAATACAGCTCTGCTCAGCAGAAAGGAACTGAAATTAAAAGCCGTTCATCTCCCTGCAGCTCTATCTGACCAATTTTCTATGGGTATCGCCTTAAACCCCTTTGGGCCATGTTTTTATTCTCACGACCGAATTCCCATTGATTCGGGCCTTTTCCCAGGATCGGTTAACGACCTTACAACAAAGTCATCTGAAATTAGTACATTGAGCCACGAAAGTGCATCGGTTATTCATTATTTCATTCATTCCTTCTTTGGCAATGGCCTTCTGGCTTCACGGACAATCCGCCACAGTATGCTCTTCTTGACTTTTTCGATTTATTGCCCTCATTACTCAGATAGCCTGTCTGATGACGCAGATGATCTATGGACTTTTCTAAATTCTAATTGCACACGGCATCGAATTAAATGAGGTTTTCCAGAAAAAAACTTACCCGTGTTTTCCAGATAAACAGCGAATACGGTAGCCATCCAAAATGGCGTCCAACAAAGAAAATAAAAGCAGGCTACGGCCAATGTGTACAACGAGATTCTCATCAATGGGATGTGTGAGGACTGAAACCAAATCGTAAACTCGACATTTACTCAGTTAAACATCAACTTCAGTTTCGACTTGATGTTTTCCTAACTGCTTTATTCCGCAGCAGTAGGAGACCCGGGAGTCTCCCAAAGTCGGACAGAGATATGGACAAAACGTTGGCCTGGGACAGTCCGAATCCGAACTCCCCAACCTTGTGTCACTATCGATTACAGTATCCTTTCCCATGTACAGTAACGAATAATTACGTAATTTGCAAAAATTATTCGATATTTCCTATGACATTTGGCTCCCAATCCTTTTTTTCACGAAGGCAAACTTCGGCTAGAATTGGATTGTTATTCGGAGAATCCATATGCTTCTTATAATAGATTCTTAATAAACGTCTAGCGCCCGTTGTTGTTTTTCTAAGCAACAATTAAAGGAAGTAAAATTACTGCCATGGATGTTCTCTGACTAAATAAATATTACAAGTTTTTTAAATGAGACCTCAAGTTTTACCAGGAAATGAAAAGTAGGAAACTTCAAATTGGACTGAGAATTAAGTGGGTCTATACAAGTATCAAGTTTGTTCGGGAGATGGACGTTGAAAAAGGATTAGTTGCCCACAGCCAGTAATTTATATGAACTGCCAATTTGTTCAGAAATAAAAGATGTGACTGTGAGGGCTGAATTACTGAAACAGGACGCAGATGGTAAATAACCATTCCCCAGTTCCATCGGCTCCCAACAGTTAGTTTGCCGGAGGGGTGATCAGGACAAAGGGTAAAGCCTAGGTCTGAAATAAGTTCCAGCTTCTCCTCTTCGTAGAATTTCGGCATTCGTATCCCATTTATGATTGTACTGCGATTCTTCTGCCGACCAGGTTGTTAGGTAGATTTTTTTCCAAGTCTTCTGCCAGGAAAGAGCTAAAGGCATTTTGGATTCATGCCCAGATTGAATACCCGCAATGAGTGTCTATCCTCTATAAATGATTTCTTGCCGTTTACACCACATTGCGAGCTACTAAGGTAAACGCTAAGAGGTGCAAATGGTTCTATAGCTGTTATACAAAGACCGCACAGAAACTCTCAGCTACTAACCATGACTGACTCGGAGTGGGGCTGTCCCGCTCTTCCGGTGGTAAACTGGGTGCCTTCATTTAACTCGTTGGTATTTCTCCGTTTCTCTTTCCTAACGTTCTACCAGAAACGCTAGGGAGATGAGGCCTTAAGACAGTTTGAAGTTTGAAGGACATCTCTTAAACCCTGGGCCATGTTTAGGCTTTTGAAAAAGACGATCGCGTCAAAAGGCAGCCCACTAATGAAGTTTCCTCTTAACAACCTCGTCGGTGAAAGAATCACAGTACAATCTAGGTTTTAATCAAACAGTGTTCTTATTCTGCCAGTCTGGTACCTCTCATCCTACCTGAGGGTTGGGATGCTCAATCGTATTAATGTATCAATCAAGAATTTGAATAATTTCAACGGTCCCGTGCGATCGTGAACCACTTGTCACTAAACCACTTCCGCCCCAGACACGTCATTGAAAGACCGAGGATCAAATCTTTGGGCGTTGAACGATCCCATCTGAGGAATGCGCCCCAACGTTCGACTTCAGTTTAAAATCGTAGTGGCTTATTGAATGCGTATGTGGCCTATACAATGACTTGCGGTGGCCAACCGATCAACAAATCAGCGCTCTTATCCTCCCAGACAGGCCTGGTACCAAATATCGACCACGGAGGGATGGAGCTCTTGGTTGGGCTGAGCGGATATCGATCCGGGATCTGTACCCGGGATCTTGGGTGATAGTGGGCCAATTAACACTACACGACCACAATTAATACTTGGTACCCATACCTACCCCAGATGAAATCTCAAATAATTGGGACCTAGTGTCTGCAGAAGCACTCGGTGTTCCATATTCCTGCAAAATTCATCAATATTCCCTCAGACAATCTAAGTTCATGGCAGCCTTCTCCCACTGAACCTAATCAAGCGTTCTCGAAAGAAAACTCATAAAACCTATCCCTGAGGCGACGATTTGCAATGAACGAGCAATGAATGTTTTTTCTTTCAGGCTATTAACTATTTGTGATGATGGCCGAACTGCAGAAGCAACCTTCCATAAAAGGGTAGCCCCTGCACATTCTGATCAAAGTAATTCCCTGCTCAAGGGTTCATGAATGGCTTCGGACTCTTGGTTGCTATATGACGATGTGACGATTATTCATGGAGATAGGCAACTATTCTGCATTAATGACCCATGACGTCGCAAAGGTGCTTGGCTTCCATCGGCATCTTGACTGACTATCCGACAGAAACCCAGACCCATATTCCCATATACACATACGGGCTATGGGGACAAAGTGACCGTATACGTCTAGAACAAAAGTCTCCCACTTACCTTGAATGTTCGAGCATGTTCACGAAGTTTCCTCAGGAGTTTTGAATAGAAATAGGCGATAAGCACCAAAGGAGTACAGTAGCAGAGTACAAATTGATAGATGGTAAACGCCGTGAACATTTGCGAATCAATATCTACCGTACACTTCTCAATCTTCATTCGTGTAATCTTACGGTAGCCTGAAATCACATAACGGCTCAACTAATTTACATCTTATTTACTAATTCATTCGACACTTCCTTACCCGTTTCCCGAGCGAACATAATAATCTCTCTCGATGTAAACGACCATAATAGTGGGCACAGAGTGATCAGAGCGTATGCAGCCAAGCCTAAAACCAATAAGAAAATAAATAACTTTAAACTGGATACGGTATTAACTGGTATTGCCGTCGATGACCATAAATATCAGGAAGTGTCTGTAGTTTATAATTTGAAATCGATAACTGAATCAAGGAGAACATTGCTAAATAGGAGGGTGAACAGTTCTAGGGGAAGGTCTCTGGAAGGGAAACTTTGAGCGTCCAGGAGCGATTCTGAACCTCCCAAGGCGATGACTGCACTTGGGAGACGGGCAGTAGGAACGGTTTTGTGTAATCGATCCGCCGCACGCGGCTGTCGCGGACCATTTATCTCGTTATAACAGTTCAAGCATTCTTCA